CAGAGAGCCCGATGCGGGACTCGATCCCAGGACCCTGGGATCATGACCTGAGCCGAAGGCAGATGCTTAACCATCTGAGCCACCCAGGCGCCCTTGGCATTCTTTTTTTATAGTTACATAATACTCAACTGAATGGATGTAATATTTTTTATCCAATCACCTATGAATAAACTCTTCCTATTATTTTACTATTATAAATAAGGTGGAAACAATAATCTTGTGTATCTTCAGAGTAAACAGATTGCTGAACCAAGCACGAATCTCCTTATGTATGTATTGTATTATATGTAATGTTACCTAATTCTCAGATTCCTTATGGGTTGCACCATTTTGTACACCTACCAGCAATCTATGAGTGTCTACTTCCCTATGACCTGGACAACAAAATGTTATATGAAGCTTTTGAATATTTGACAATCCATTTTTGGGGAAATGGGCCCATTAATTTTATAGTCTGAAACTATTTAAGTAATTTGCTGTTCAACTGAACTACCATGAAAACTTAAAACATCCACATTCAAACCTGACTGCCTTATAACTAAGATTATATATCTATCTATATATACACATTTTGTGTGTGTGTGTCTTTTAGAAAGTACGGATTCTAAAAAAATGGTACAGTACAATCAGAAATACAACATTTAATATTGTGATTTGATGAAGGTCATTTATTCTTAGATGATGACATAGCTCCCATACTTGTTACCTCAGAGGTAAAGTGAATACTGGAAAATTCTACTCATTCATGCAAAGCAGAGGTAATACATTAACCATTTTGATAAAAGCATGAGTAATTTACTCATGCATTAAGCTAACTAAATAGAGCACACAGTGGCTTAAATAGTTGATATAACTTCATATTCTAGAATTAGTTCCTACATTATTCCTCTAGTAGTAACTATAAGGACAACAATCACAATCATGGTAATGATGGCACTTACTGTGTCAGGCCTATTCTAGGTGCTCTACAAATGTTACCTCATTTGACCCTTACCACAATCTTGTGAAGTAGGTACTCTTATTTCCATTTTACAGATGAGAAAACAGAGATAATAAGTAACCACCCATGGCCATAAAGTCAGTAAATGGTGGAGCACGAATTCTAATCCAGATGGTCTGATTCCAGAGCCTGGACTCAACTATTTTATTATAGAACCTCTACTGTTTCATTACATTATACTAAAGAGAAAAGCTAAGGACTTAAAATAGTTTAATAGTAATAAATAAAACTATTTTTTTCAAATACTTTTTTAGCTGAATAAATTTTGAGTTAGGAACAAGTATTCTAAAATTAAATCAAGGAAAATAATTAGCAACCAAAACTAAGTTATTAATCCATGATTCATACAAGGTTTGCTACTAGTCACATAAAATGTATATGAAATTCATGCTTTTTATAGCTGATGAAATTAGCAATGAATACCCTCAATTTATCAGGGGCTCTGGCCATGTTCCTTGTTGCAGCATCATTACCAATGACCACTGACTTACCTCATCTGGGAAAAGATGCAATCTCTGCATCAGAGTTCTTCTGTGAAGGTTTTTTGGCAGCATGCCATAAATAGCTAGTTTCACAATCTGAAAAACAGATATATGTAGGACTCAACAAGAAAAATCTGATTTGGGATATAAGAAGGCAACCACATTTAGAGATAGTGGTGAAAACAAGTAGGCTAAGATTCAACAAAAATGAAAGGAAAGAAATTAAGACCTAAGTAGATATATGTGAAAGCAACAGCAAAGGAATTGTCATTATTTTGTGCATTACTATTTTCTTTAGGCTCTATTTGCTTTAATTTAGTTTTAAAGGAAAAGGACAATAGGGAAAGATTAAAAATAATCTACATATGTACTGATGTTAGCTAGAATAAGAAGAAATTCTCTAAGCTTATACAAGAAACTACGGCTCAAATAATCTGTCACATACTGAATATAGCAGAACCCAGGGAGGCCTTAAATCCTGTTTCCTCCAGGTAGATCAGGAGGTTTCAAATTCATAAAGTAAGCATGACCATACAGTTTTGAGAATGACTCGTAGGTCACAAATCTACAACAATGTTAACATTGTTAACTGCGTCACATTTGTTGTCTTGTTTATCATGCTGAGTCTCATTTCACACATGAGAAAACAGATTTAATGAGGTTAAAGAACTCTCCCAATTTCATATATCTAACTTGGTGGTGCTGGAATGCAAACCAGGCAGTGGTCTTACTCCCAGAATAGACATATAGTACATGCAATCACACCTATAATGTGTTTCTCTCTGTCACCTCTCAAGAAGACAAAAAGTCCCTTCTCTCTACAATACCCATTCCCAAGATGGCAAACTAACCTTGCCGTGATTTACTTTTTCTTTTTTAAGATTATCCTCTTTGTTGGTCTGAATGTGATTTGATATCCTTTATCAAGAGAAGGTCACACAGTGTCACCCTGTGTTCCATAATCTCCTGGGGACCTGCTGGCATCTAGTATATACAAATACACTGCGAGGTCTTCATAAAGCTGCTGATAGGGACATTTGGAGGGCTGCATCAATTTTTACCATCTGTACACATAATCCAAGAATATGACTTGACATATATTTAAGTTAGTAGGAAGGGAAAAATGAAGGGGGGAAATCGGAGGGGGAGACGAACCATGAGAGACTGTGGACTCTGAGAAACAAACTGAGGGTTCTAGAGGGGAGGAGGGTGGCGGGCTGCATTAGCCCGGTGATGGGTATTAAAGAGGGCATGTACTGAATGGAGCACTGGGTGTTATACGCAAACAATGAATCATGGAACACTGCATCAAAAACTAATGATGAAATGTACGGTGATTAACATAACATAATAAAATAAAATTTTAAAAAAAAACCACTAAAACTATACATGTTAGAACAGTGTTGCACTATAAGAAGATTTCACGTATCTTTAATTTTCTCATCAAAAAACCCAAACATGGGGCACTTGGGTGGCTCAGTTGGTTAAGCGACTGCCTTCAGCTCAGGTCATGATCCCAGGGTCCTGGGATCGAGTCCCGCATCGGGCTCCCTGCTCTGCAGGGAGCCTGCTTCTCCCTCTCCCACTCCCCCTGTTTGTGTTCCCTCTCTCACTGTGTCTCTCTCTGTCAAATAAATAAAATCTTTAAAAAAAAAAAACAAAAAACCCTTACTACATACCCAAGCTAATGGCATCCCATATATATTTTCCAGTTTAGTGCTATTAATACTCTATGTTCTAGAGATTTTAATAGAGATTTCTATTGTTAAAATTAAAAGCAATTAAAAATTCAGTTAACTCAGCCACACAAGCCACATTTCAAGTGGCCAATTGCCACATATGGCTAGTGGCTACCATGTTTGACAGTGCAGACATAGAACATCATGACAGAAATTTCTATTGGACAGCATTGATGTAGATACTTGTCCTTAAAAATTTTAATTTTTAAAAGTCTTAAGCAGAAATCGACAGTGTTAAGACTACTGAGCATCTTTTCTGGATAAGCTAGTCATTATATCCTCTGAATATCCCAAAATAGCAATTTTATTGTTATGGTAGGGTTATATGGCATTTAGGGTTCATGCTCTTAAAAAAATATAGTTGTAGTCACTTGAATTAACAAGTTGGCTTTTTAAAACTTGCCCTATTAAAACATGCAAACATAAGAGTCAAATTAGAGAAAGCTAGAAAGTGTAGAAAGGTTTTAAGCTGACAGGGGAGAGAAAAAGGCAGACATACAAACAATATATGCCCCAAATAATAGAACACAACGTGTGCATGCAATCAAGTAATTATAGCTGCATAGGCTTAAGCATAAGTTCTAAGGAATTCAGAAAGTGAGAGAATAAAGCGAGGTTAATAAATATTAAAGAGCTTCCACATCTGAAAACCAGGGCATGTGCCCATTTGTTTCACACAAAATAACTTTATTTGGGGGTGGGGGGGGAGATAAGAAAGGAACCATGTTAGAAAAAAAATGTAAGGACAAAGAGGTGGGACATCTGGTTGGCTAAGTCAGAAGCGCATGTAACTCTTGAACTTGGGGTCGTGAGTTCAGGCCCTACATTGGGTGTAGAGATTATTTAAATAAATAAAAACTTAAAAAAAAAATGTAAGGACAAAGAAACTATTAATAAAACTAAAATATATGATAGAGGTTGATAAGGAAAGGCTGAATTAACACATTTATATGAGTTTACAAATAATCTGTGTAATTATAAAAATATTTTGAAATATTTAATAACCTACTAATAACTATTTAAATGTATTAATTAATGTATTTTACAAACAATATTCCAGGACTGTACTAATAATCAGAAACAAATTCTCTTACAAGCCCATACACCAAGTACTGATAAGCAAATTATGTCTGCAGGCAGAAGACCTACTGTTCCAGACAAACACGTTATTTGATTTGAAGTAAAATAACGGAACTCTTCCTTAACAAGCTATTCTTTTTCAAAATACAAAGTCAAAATTAAGACTTAAAAAAAAAAATTAACATTATTTAAATGACATAATAATTCAAATGGATTTAACTTTGAACTATTTTCTAGGCCTTCATTAAACATTTTGTAATGTGTTTTAATATTTGTTTATAAAACATAACTTGAAACAGTTTCTACAAATGTTATCTATTGCCAAATCCTTATAAATTATAAAGTTGGGACTATACTGCCTCCTAGTGTATAGTGAGCATGCCTGCCTGAATAACACAGAAATTTAAATCTTAAAAATATCTGTCAAATATTAAAACTACAATTTGTTGTAGGACTTATGGTACATATTATCAGCAGCCCTTATAACTTTTTAATACCATTACATGCAATCCACATAAATAGTCAAAACAGGATATTTTATTTGACCTGTAATAGTCTAAAAACATGTTTTGAAACAGAACATTAAATATTTCTTAAGCAATCTCTGAGCATATTTTTGTAAAACACCTATAAATGATAAGAAGTAAAAATAAATGGCAAAGCACGGAACTTCCAAATGTTATGTCAGAAATTACTATAATAAAACATGTCCCTCTCCCTCACCTCTAAGGAAGTTTTAGGCAGTATTACACCAAACAAATGATTGTATCCTGACAATAGGTATCTATTTTTATTCACCACTGTAGGGAAATTAAAAAAACAACGTCTTCACAGCATAACACTTTGTTCATTTATGAATGTATTTACGTATAAAGCTAAAATAGTTCATAATGGGGAAAATGTTATTGTCTATTCTATGAGTCTAGTTCAAAGACTGAGTTATAAAGAATTAAGGAAGGAAAAATAAAATTGTGAAATGGCAACAGGAGATTTTGTTTTTAGCAATATTGACCGCTAATATTTAGATTAGAAATTTCTATATATAACTCAAATGATAAAGAAATAAATATTAATGAAATTAATAATATTGTTTTAAAAAATCTTTTCTAAAGCATGAAGCAACTAGAGGCCAGAAGTAGGAGAAAGTAGTACAAAAAAAGAGTCCTAAGGCTGGCATTTGCCCAGAGGGTATCAGCTTAGTGCAGGGCTTGGATTTCAAAGGACTACCTCTTTTTTGGTCAGGAAGTAGGATCAAAGACTTCCTCATAAACCTAGATTTTCAACAGAAGTCAATATCCAGGGTATAGAGTGGGGAAATTAAAAAATAAAAATCTTTCCTGATAGGAAACTAGAACCATGAGCCTGACTGCTGAAGGCCTCGAGGCCCCAAATTCACCCTTTTTAAAATGGGGATCAAAACCCAGAAATCTATAAAGTATAGCTTAAAGAGGTCTTAGGTTGGTATAGCCCCATGCACCTATCAGAAGCTAAGCCAATCTTTTTTTTTTTTTTTTAAGATTTATTCATTTTAGAGAAAGAGAGAGAGAGCGCATGCAAGAGAAGGGGGGGAGGGTAGAGGGAGAGGGAGAGAGAATCTCAAGCAGACTCCCATTGAAGGCAAAGCCTGACGTGGGGCTCAATCTCACAACCCTGAGATGATGACATGAACGGAAACCAAGAGTCAGGCACTTAACTTTAAGCCACCAGGTGCCCCTGCTAAGCAAATTTTTATGAAGAAATCCACTTTGAAGATATAGGTCTCAAAGAGTTCTCAGTGATGAAGTTTCAAGGTACATGAGCTTATCAAGTATCCTGAGCAGAAACAATATATTACAGATCCACAAAGACCAAAAATATTAGAAACAGATATAAACACTAAGAATTATGTTTACTAGGCTTAAAAAAATAAGAAGGAACCAAAGTATGACAAAGAAACAGAAAAACTATCAAAACTGACCAGCAAACTTGAAAAAAAAGACAAACAGTAAATCTTCAAAAAAAAAATATAATAATTCAAATTAGAAACTCAATAAAAGGATTGATCAGATGAGACATAGGTAAAAAGATAGAGAACTAGAACACAGACATAAAGAAATTATTGACAATGCAGCACAGACAGGGAGACATAAAATATTAAAGAGAGCTAATGAATCATGTACAATGAAATGAGACAATCTACTGTAAATATAATCAGATTTCCAAAGGGAAAGAACAGATAAAGAATAAAAGGACCAATATTTAAAAGATGTAAGAGCTGACAAATTTTCAGAACTGAAGATACCAGTCCTCAAGCAAAATAAATAACAAGACTTGAATAGAAACAGGAAAACCAACACCAAAGGAAAGATCTCAAAAGCATCCAAAAAGAAGACAAAATACATACAAAGAAATATTAAACTGACATGTGATTTATCAATAGCAGTAACAGAAACTAAAATCTGTTTGAACAATAGCTTCAAACAGGTGAGAGAGAAAAATAGTTATCCTAGAATTGCATATACTGAATAAGCAAAACTAACTTTCAAGAAAGAAGGCAAAAATAAAGAGTTTCAGACAAAAATGAGTTTACTATTAAGAGAATGTTATGATAGGAATGTCAAAAGAAGTATTTTGAGAAGGAAATTAATCCCAAAGGAAGGCTGTTATCTGAAAGGATTTATAAGCAAAGAGAACCATAAAAAATCAGTAACTAGGTAAAACAATAACAAGAATGTTGAATTGGAAGGGTTTTGAAAACTGTTGAATAGAGAAAGAATCATAACTGTGAGGGAGAGAAGGTGTTAAAAATCTTCTAAGGACCTTGATTTGATCTGGAGGAAAATAAAGATATTGATTAATCTTATACTTCTAATAAATAAACTCAATCCAAAAGAAGGCAAGAAAGAAAGAGGGGAAAAATTAAAATAAAATCTAGTTTAAGTGTAAAGTAAAATGACATTTCAGGCAAACACTATCAAAAGAAGACTGATGCAGCTTATTAATATAAAAAAAATACACCTGGAGTTAAAAAACATTATTGGAGATAAAAAGGGCCAAGTACATATGCTGATTAATTCTTAGGAATAGTATAATTCCAAACTTAAATTCATCTAACACTAAATCTTCAAAACATACAAAGCAAAAACTGCTAGAACTACAGGGAAAAAACAAATCCACAATTGAGAATGTAACATAAGTCTTTCAGGTAATCAATAAATGAAATGAACAAAAAAAGGTAAGACTTTTGATTGGAACAACATACTTTGCATATTTGATATAATGGATATATAAACATACATAGATACAAACAACGCTCTCTCTCCCAAGATGTTTTCGTGAACATATCATATTCTAGGTAATCAGGCTGGTATCAAGTAATTAAAAAGAAAAGCAACAAAACTGTTTGGCTACGTGAAAAACATAGTAAATAGTATTTAGAAAATATATAGATTTGAATAATAATGGGTTAATACTTATCAAAACTTGTGAGACATTTAAAGCACAGAATTTATAGCCTTGCATGCTAGCTACATTAGAAGAGAAGCAAGACTGGAAAAACAGTTTCTGAACCAGTCTTTCCACAGATGACAAATAATAAAAAATACAATAAACTTACTGCTACTGGATCCTTCTGGTGAAGTTGAGCAGCTGTTACTTGTTTAAATCCACCTGGATAACTGTGAAAAGAAGCAAAGACATTAAAACTGGGAGTAGGCTATGATATAGTATTCTTGAAATGAATGTTTTATAATATGAAAACTATTTTTATTATGGAATTATTATTTTAGGAAACTATGCTGTTCATTAGTGTCTTAAAAAAAATTAAGTAGTAACCTATGCTATTTGAAATGCTGTTCTTTTTAAGTGGTCAACTATCAGTGTTTCATAAAAGTTCCACATCTTGGAAAATTCATGGCATAATTATCTTCCAAGGGAATTTAAAGTTTTCATTCATTGATTCATTCATTCATTCATTATGGGGTAGTTTATCATGCTTGAATTAAGAAAGAAAAAGCAATGAGCCAATATGCTTCACATTTCCTGCCAAGTCAGAATGTCTGTATAGCCTAGGGTCAAGTTTGGGGAAAATAGTGGTAGACCACTTTGGTTCTAAAGTCAAGTTCATACTCTGAAGAGGGGATGGTCCTACTAACAATTGGTAAAAGACCACTAAGAGTTATACGCTGGTCTTAAGTAATAAAATATTTCACTGAATTCATATAAAAAAATATATAAAACGGACAGAGGTTAAAAACTATATATACATTCATATACACACACACACACACACACACACATAGACACACACACATACGTATATGGGATACATATGTATTTGGGATCGTACTGGTGGTAGCTTAGTAACTTGGATGCCCCATATCCCAGTCTAGAATCTAGGTTTGCCAGTGGCTACCAGTATAGTATTAGTTAACTCATTTTACCTTTTTATATGAGTTTATTCACGTAAGAAAATGATACTATCTGCCCTATCTACCTCTCAAGATTTTTACAAGAGTCAAATGAGAAAATGTTTGTGAAACTGCTTAAGAAATTTAAAACAAAAACAATATACAGATGTGAGGTTTCATTATGCTGAATGGATAAATATAGTCCAAATGATTTCTGAGGAAGGGGAAAAGAAAACAAACTCAGTGCACTCTGCAAAAGAAGTTAAAGATTACCTAAAATGTGATTCCTTTCATAAGTTTCTTTCGACAAGACTTGAAAACGTTTGAAAGAACCACATTTCAGGAATAAAATTGAAGAAGCAGATTTAGAAGTTTGCTGAGAAAGATGGATAATTTTCAAAGTGATACTCTTGCATTTGTTTCAAGGAATTTCAGTTTCAGAAAAAGAAATACCTGTCTAGACTTCAATTCCTGTATTCATTCTCTCCATGGAAAAAAGTACTTTACACCTTCTACGCTAAAAATCACTTCTCTGTTTTCAACACTGGGATGCCAAATTCTAAAGCACAATACCATTTACGTTTTAGAGAATCTGGAGAGAGAGCATAAAATTCTGAGTAGACGAATGACTTGCATAGTGTAATAAATACTCAGTTGATTTTTACTGGTGAAAAAGTAACACACTTCTTCCTGCAGGGATAGCCTGAATGGAAGAGAAGAAACTTTGTTTTAAATGTTCGTCAAATTTTTTTCAATTCAAATTAATTCAGTAAATATTGAATGCCTATTGTGCTGAGTGCTGGGGATATACAATAAATTTAACGGTATCCTGTCCACAGGAAAAATGACTAAGTGAATTCTACTGAGGCATCTAACAGTAGGCTGTATTTCTAACTCATATCAATACATTTTAGATGACTGAACAGTTAGAGTCAAAGTTCAAGGTGCACACATACACATCTCGCCTGACCTCTAAAACCATGAGAAGCGAATGTTTATGAAATATTTAGATGAGAAAAGATTTTCTGAGACTGGAAAACACAGAAGAAATTACAAGGGAAAAGAGAGATTTAATTATATGAAAGTTAAATAACCATACAACAAAGGATATAAAGAAAATTCGTAAAAAGTAAACTAATAGTGGATTAACATTCTTAATAGATAAAATACGCAGAGAAGGTGCTAAGGAAGGCATCGATACCTTATTATAAGGCACATGTAAACAATCAGATGCCCATCGAAGTAGCAGAATCTTATTATTAAATCATTTTTATGGCAGCACTGTGTCAGCAGTTTTACAACAGGCATTCTTATGCACTCCTAGTGCAATATTACAGTAACGTTTAGAAATACCTCTTAAAAGACCTATTATCATCCCTTTGATCTTGAAATTCGTTACATTTCTAGTTTTATTTTAGATTACCCTATATATTGAAAAAGCCTAATGGATAAAGATTTTTTGGGGACTCTTTATGAAATTAAAAATTTTAATTTTAAAAAACAGAACAATCATTATATATGCAAATCATATTGTATACTACTACACAGTGACTAACAATAATATTTATAAAAAAGCTTTCTGGGAATTTTATATAAAGTGAAAAAGGATGTAAACTTGTGTATGTATTAAAATGTTTAGTCCACAGGATGAAAAATGATTTTTAGTTCCTTCTTTACATTTTTCTGCATTTTCTAAAATTATCGTATATTAACATTTTTACAACTAGAGAGTTAAATTTTGAATACATAATGTAACAGTGTTATGAGCATAATAAGAGTGGTACCTCCAGTGAGGTGAAGGAACAAAGTGAAGAGTCAAGAGAAACAGAAACAAAAAGTGACTAACCCTACGGGGGATGACGAAATAGGGAAGGCCTTCCAGAAGAGGTGATATCTGAGTCAGGTTTTAATGGATAAATGTGAGAATTCTTGAGAAACACTCCTGTGAAGGAGAATAACACACGCAAAGGCAGAGAGGCAAGAAATAGCAATACGTTGGCTAAAATGAAGGATTCTGAAGCAGAAGGGATAGCTGGGTACCAACAATTTACAACAGTTTAGATTTTCATCCATAGATAGGAGAGCTTTACTGAAGAGGACACCATCAGCAGAGGGTACATTACACGAGCTGTTCACTACTGGCAGGGCTATTATTTTCCTTCATCTGCGGTATCACTACAGATATTATTGCTACAGCAATTACTGTAGCATTTTGTGTCAATACTTCCCCTTTATGCTTTTATCACATCATGTTATCCTGACTTTTCATATTTCCTTCCCCCATTATCTCTAAATTTTATAGAACTTGGTTTATCTGTAGAGATTTCCTAATAGTAGAAATTACTAAAGCCGTTTGTGAACTTATTTGGGCATTTGTATGGGCAAAGGATGGCTAATGGAAGCAAAAAAGTTATTCCCAGCATTTGAGACCTACTTAGGGGGGCTATTAAAGTCTGCTTGTCTAAGATGAAGGTGTACTTGGAAATAAAATAATAATTTTAATCAAGAATGAAAGGTCAACTTTTTTTTTAAAGATCGATTTATTTATTTATTTTAGAGAGAGAGAGAGAGAGAGCATGAGTGGGGAGAGGGGTAAAAGGAGAGAGAGAATCTCAAGCAGACTCCCCACTGAACATGCAGCCCTATGCGGGGCTTGATCCCAGGACCCTGAGATCATAACCTGAGCTGAAATCAAGAGTCAGCCGCTTAACTGACTGAGCCACCCAGGAACCCATGAAAGGTCAACATTTCTTTTTTTTTTTTTTTTTT